TGATGTTTATGCATAGACAGTATAAGAAAGTGTGTTTATGTTGTAAAGTTGTGTTTTGTTCTGATGCGTCACCCACCACCGATCTACCAATCACGGACTCAGTAGTGTTGCGGCATTCGGGTTGCCAGCTCTTCTCAGCTGCAGATACGAACGTGTCGGAATTGGATAATAAAAATTCTAACGTTGCGAAACCCCAAAAAACTCGATATGAATCCAAAATACTTTGTTACAAAGTCCGAAATAAATAATTAACAGAAAAAAAACTCACTGTGTAGGACTCGTCACTTGCCATTGGAAGCTGTAGCAGCCTACGTTCCTGCTGGAGCAGCATATCTGGCAACCTCGAGTCATGGGGGAGGGGGAGGGGGGATACACCCTAATTTGAAAGTGATTGCAATACCAGTTTTTGCCACAATCTTGCATACAGCTCCAGTAAAATGCTTATGAAGCCTTTATATTTACAATATTACAACTTTATTTTCATCGTAACCTTGTGACTTTGTTCTTATAACATTATGACTCTATTCTAAATAAGGTTTTTTTAACGTGCCACTAAAACACTGTCATAATAATTTGAATGTTTTACAATTTAATTAATTATCTTTTCTCTAAAGGCCCTTTCCAGAAGGAACGCTATAATGACAAATATTCTTTAAAGAAATTGTGTGTGGGTGGGAGGGGGATTCCAAAAATATTGTTACTCTGTCTTGTCGTTGTTGTTATAGTTGTCATATGGACTCTTCTATTCTCTTAGAGTTGAGGGATTTTTAAAACATAAAAAATAGCTTAGTTGTAATTATTGTTTTTGGTGTCAACAGGCCTTTATTCTGAACTTCCCCAAAGATCAGACAAAATAATGATGCTCAGTCTTTGCTGTCCTTTTTCCTTCTGGTAGGTCTGAAAAGGCTGAAGGGAGATTACGACACCTCAAAGGACATAGCAGAGTTGCAGGCGCAGAAGGAGGCGGCCATGAAAGAGGCAAAGATGTCCATCCTGCGTCTGCTCCGTTCCTCTGTGTACCGCCAGCAGCTCTTTGTGGCCCTTATGATGCATTTCTCCCAGCAGTTCTCTGGGATCAACGCTGTACGCTCAATTTTTCTCCCATATTATTGAAAAAAAAATTCAATTGAAGCTTTATGGACCACATTACTATTATACAACAGTAATATTTGATCATGTCTTTGTGTTTTTTCTAGATCTTTTATTACTCTACTTCGATCTTCGAGACTGCAGGAGTCGGTCAGCCTGTGTATGCCACTATTGGAGTGGGAGTTGTTAACATCATTTTCACCCTTGTGTCGGTAAATAGACACTAATTTAAAGGCAAACACCGGCTGCTGGGGAACAGGCTCTCGTCTCTTAGGAACAGCACAGTGCCGTTGCCTCTTGGGTCTTACTTTCCGTTAATGCTTTTTGACAGTAACTCAAGACTTATATTGTAGATAAATCCAGCTTAGTTGAGAGTATCTTCAGAACACAGCTACAATTGTGAGAACTTAAAATCAGAACAACACTCATTAGCAGCACTATGATCATAATTTTGTCCAAAATTTAGGTTAGATTTATAAAAGAATATTGCTGACATTATCAGTCATGCTCATGTTTCACACCTCACCTTGAATTTTGTGAAAGGATTGTATAATAAGTCATTATAACGGCTGGATCGGCAGAGGTCTGTCGGCTCATAGAGCTGGAGAGAAGCCATATGTTATCGTGCCTTGGCAGTGTTTATCTATGCTAGTTCAAGGGCAGCCTGCAAGTGAAAACTGTTTTGAGCAATGAGTCAATAGCTACTCTAAATCAAACAATCCATTCAGAACACGTTTTGATTAATCTGGTGCATGAAAGCTTTTAGAAAGTCATTTTCTGATTTTTAGCGCTAAAGAAATTAATAGTCATTTTGAAAAATATATAATTTCAATTGAGATTCCGCCACAAGATTCCGCTCAGCTTTTGCTAAATTGCATTTAAATTGCATCAGAATTGCGAGTAATAAAACGTCTGAATTGTAGGTTTTAAGCTGGTAATTGTGAGTTATAAAATCAAAATTGTGAGAATTAAAAGAAGTCAGATAACAGCTTAATAAAATTAAAGGCATGTTGCAATCACGTGCATGACCAGCCAAATATTTAATTATGTGGCTGAATTGCGATTTTGGTGGTGTGGAACCCCTAAAGTCTGGTGGTAATGTGGAAACATGACCACTAACTGCTAGAAGGAAAGGAAAAATAGAATATAAATGAATAATAATATTAATAGTAGACAGTAGTAATACACAAATAATTATTATTAAATAGTAGATACAATAGTTTGAATAATAAATAATTTAATAATAATTTAAATTATTAATAAAAATCAATTATAATACACATGGCTTAATATCCAAATATCACTGTACCCTATAGCAAATGCTGGTTCAACAGTTCAAAACCACTAGATGTCAGTATATGGCAAAAATATAAATAAATAATTAATTAATTGAAAACTCTGAGTGCTTAGTCTTTAAGAATGCAGGTAATCGTATATGATTCTTGTGATTCTCAGTCTGGTTCATTACTGTGTCTGTATGTGCGCTTTCCAGGTGATCATGGTGGACAGAACGGGCAGACGAACTCTCACTCTGATTGGGTTGGGAGGAATGTGCTGCTGTGCAGTGGCCATGACAGTGGGCATGGCATTTCAGGTAAGATGGTGGCATTTTTAAATATGGAGAATATTTATAAAATGGAGAAAACTATAAATCGCTATAGAGTATCTGCATTTGTCATTAGACTGTAGGTCTGAGTTGCTGGTCTGCGGTCTGTTTCATAATTCTCTCTCTACTGCTTTTCAGGATGATTACTCATGGATGAGCTACCTCAGCATGATGGCCATATTCATGTTCGTGTCTTTCTTTGAGATCGGGCCTGGCCCAATCCCCTGGTTCATTGTGGCAGAGCTCTTCAGTCAGGGACCACGTCCAGCAGCCATCGCATTAGCTGGGTGTTGCAACTGGACATGCAATTTTATCATTGGCATGTTTTTCCCTTATTTAGAGGTAAGAGTTTCCTGCATCTTTACAACTGTACTGTATCCTTACATACCATCACTACATAAGGTCTTCAAAATAAGAATAAATCGAACTTTGCTTTGGTCCCTAGAGACTTTTGGGGAGCTATGTCTTCATCGTTTTTGCAGTACTCCTGTTTGGTTTCACCGTTTTTATCTACCTGCGTGTACCTGAAACAAAAGGGAAGACTTGTGAAGAGATAGCAGCAGTTTTCAACCGCAAACGTGGAGCCCCTCCTTCCAAACCCCAAGAAGAGGCTGAGATGGTGCAGCTCAAGAGCTCAACAGAGGCCTGAATGAGGACCCTTGGTTTATGGCAACTGTGGAATGAACGTTGTTACTGCAGTCACAGAACTTACAGTACCTGTTATGACAAAACTGAATCTGATCTGCTGTATATTCCACTAAGCCTCAAGCAGAGCTCATCATTTGACAGGAAATAATTAGTCTAGATACAAGTAAAGAGATTAACTAAACAAAACAGTGTAATCTTGACAGACGGTGCAATGCAGTATACACAAGCACTGGCCTTATTGGTGCAGATGAATTTAGATGATTGTATATTACTTTTATATTCCCAAAGTTATATATCTGTTAAAAATATTTTTAAAGGCATCACATTGTAAATTATTATTTTTCTCAGTGTATTTCAGTAGTGATTTATGGTTGCAAATTTAAAGTGATTTGGGGAGATTTTTTATGTGGAGAATTTGTGTGATAAGCTATAAATCAACTTGAAAGAAGGTTATACAAACTCGCATAATTAATATGGGAATTATAATATATTTAAAATGAATCTATGAAGGAACATCATCTACAATTGTTTAGTTTATAAATATATTCAAAGACAAAATGTAAGATTTCTTTTCTTTTTTTTTACATTTTGTTCTAGAGTTACAATGGTTGTATTACATTTGTGTATTTTTTGCTATTCTAAAATGACGCATATTTTAAAGTAAACCATTCCAACTAAAAACAACCTTAATTATTTGCTTTGGTATAGATATCTAAACATCTCAAGACTGCCAGGACATATTATATTAAATGATACATATTAAGGCCTTTGAAAACACAATGGTGCTGAAACTCTTTTCATGTGTCTTTTAATCTGTTACTAGGCTATAGTCATTTATTCTTCCATTTAAATGGATACTTCATGGCAGTTTGATGAGTGTCGCCTACCTGGAAAGTTATTGCAAAGATGCAGTGAATATTATGTTTGCTCTATTGTTAAAAAGTTTGTTTTTTTGAAGTCTCTTATTTACTCACCAAGGCTGCATTTATTTGATCAAAATAAAGTAAAAACAGTCATTGTGGGGGAAAATAAAATATAACTGTTTTGTGTTTTAATATAGGCTATGCTATTTTAAAACGCAATTTATTCCTGTATATACTCAGTGTCACACCACCAATAGGCCTACTGATGATATCATCAATGTTGAATAAGGTGGAATGTGCTGCACCAAACTAGTCTTCAATTCCTTCTCTAATGAACGGATTTAGCAGGCTAGCCTACCACAGACCAAATTATGAATTCCAATATATTTAAACTCCAAAATCATCATATTTTGTAATTGCTGATGGGCAGAGCAGACAGTAATGGTATTTGATACATTCAGCTATAAAATGAAGGTTGTGTTTAAGAAAAAGGGTTAACTGGCTTTGAGGACAAGGATAGCCTACGTTTCAGAAATGATAGGTCGAAGCAAGTTGCCACGTGTTTGCAATGATAAATGCGCTAAACTTTTTTTTTTTTTATCAATGACATAATGGCCAAAACAATGGGTTGATATTTTTTTATGGCGACCGTTAAAGTTGTATTATTTCGTGATCTTTTTTGTTGTTTCGTATTTTTGTGTGTGTGTGATTGTGTGCTTAAATTTGAGCACTACGCAGTCAGCTGTAGCAGTTAGTTTCTCCTCGTGCATGAGAATCTCGTTGCCGTAAAGTTGCGCGCATGCGCAGATCTTTCCGTCTTTTGTTGGAAGGGAATGACTGGCGTTTTCAATGCTCTCTGCTACAGCATCGCAACATTTATAGGCGAATCCTCTTAATACAACACAGTGTGTGGATACAACTCGGGAAGAGGATTTGGCGATTGAAGACGGTGTCCTGAAGCGGTCGATTGTGTGATCAGAGCGTCTGGGTGTGGAGTTGTTTTATTTTGCAGCATGTGTGTCAAAGCTAGAAAGAGCAGCATAATGGCCTGGCAAAAGTTCTTGATTCCCATGCGAACATCTCTGTTTACTCGTTTTTGAACGATGTTCCATGATAAGCGTTTGTTCCCGAGCAAAAGCAAGGTTTATATGTTTGCAAGCTAATACACGTTCTTTAAATGATTCGGTCAACTGAGTAGTTCCGGTTAACTTTGCGTGTAGCTGTAAAGTGAGTCATTCATCCAGCTTAAACATTCAAACGGCGCCTCTGACTGCATTAGATTCGGCAAATTTAGCGTGGTTCAACTTTTGCGCGCCGTTTGTGGGTGTCCAGGCCGTGGTAGTTTCAGGTTGTGGTAGATTTGTTCACATTTACAACACATTGGTAATAAGTTCGTAGTTAAGTTTAAGTTACGGTCTATTAGAGTAGCTATTAGCAGTACTATTAGTTGTTTTAGCTTTAACGTGTTCTCTGTTAACTCTGTAATATTTACACATTAACAGACAAATGGATATTATATCGTTATTTCAGCAAAATGTGCGAATGTTTCATCACATTTATAGGGATAGTTCACCCTAAAATGAACATGACGTCATTTCCTCACCGTAGCCTCGTGTTGCTCCTGTGTGACTTTGCACTGTTGAGCATAAGTTTTGGTCATCATTGACATTTGTTGTGTGTGTTTTTTTTTTTGCAATTTCTCACATTTTCTTTTAGGTTCCACATAAGAAATGAAAATTGTGGGAATTTAAAAAAAAAAAACTACAATTTCGGGTGAACTATCTTTTTAAAAGTACCATACGGTAATGTTTTTGCACGTGTGCCATTGTACTACTTTGTGTTTTTGACCGTAGTATAGATATATCACATTATCACAGTATTACTGTCTGATACCGTCTGTGCTCCTTCCTATGAATGTGGTAATAATTCCGTTTTCTTCTGCGCACAGAATCCTCTTCGATTAACCCATCATGGCTGATCTTGATACCGATTTCACCAGTGGCGACGCTGGGGCTTCTCTAACATTCCCCATGCAGTGCAGTGCTTTGCGTAAGAACGGCTTTGTGGTGCTAAAGGGACGTCCTTGCAAGATTGTGGAGATGTCTACTTCCAAGACTGGCAAGCATGGACACGCCAAGGTATCAAATTAATAAACTCACTGTTGAGGGCTTAATTTAGAATAACGGCTACATTTCATAATGCATTGCATATTACTGAATCTGTGACATTATCATTAAAAGTTTTAAGTGCATTTGCTTAATTTTCCTTTTCAGGTGCACATGGTTGGAATAGACATATTTACTGGAAAGAAAAATGAAGATATCTGTCCCTCTACCCACAACATGGATGTTCCTAATATCAAGAGACTGGACTATCAAGTAAGTTCAAACTGTAAATATAGCTGCGAGCAGTGATTGCGGGCCCAAGCCGGTGGCACCGCAAACCCGGTGCCTTGAATTACCTAAAGGCACCGGGCTGGCGATACTGCCGGCTTTGCCCCTTCATCACTGCTCGCAGCTATATATAGCTATATATATATATATATATATATATATAGCTCTATATATATATTAGGGCTGGGTAATAAATATTGATTTCTTGATATTAATCGATTCTCGTTTTTACGAACCGATATCGATTCTTAAATTTTAAGAATCGATTAGTCCTCCTGTTTCATTTGAATAAATGGAACATTGTATCGCAGTTGCGCGCATCCAAAAAATCTCAATAATCTTCGTCCTTTGTTACTGTTGATATGAAACAAAGTCTCAAATTTCAGATTACGTCCATTTTCTTTAGAAATTCAAAAACATAAATAACGTTTTGGCGCTGTGGCGTGCGATCGCTCTGACACCGCTCAAGAGAAGCAGCAGCGCTGGTCTCTCTTCCGGCTTAATAATACCATTTACAGTGCAAATAAACATGAATGAGCAACTGAAAGTGTGTTAAAAGATAGAGTACAGCTTATCGAAATCCGTACGCTCAATCAGTGTTTCAACCGAGGAAAGACGTCAGTTAAACAGCTTGTAATCAAATGTCATGTATTGTCATATTTACCTTAGAAAACCCACATAAACTCGTTAGTCAGCTAGAAAAATTGCTCTAGAGAGGACCAGTTTGCTAAATATATACACCATATTACATATGCATCATAATCTTAATGTTCTTTAATATTTAATGCATATTTGAATAAATCTGGCGAGTTTTTAGCCACCATTTAAATGTTTATATTTCATATAATCTTATTATTATAAAAATAAATAAGAGTGTAATTAGGCTAATAAAGCCTAGTAGGCTACAACTAGACTCCCATAGTTAACAGCATTAGTTAAGAGATTTGATTTCCTTGAGAAAATTTGCCATTTATTGTAAATGATATCCAAAATAATCAATATTGAATCAAATCGGTATCGAATTGCAAGCTTGTGAATCGAAATCCAATCGAATTGTGAAATTTGTGTCAATACCCAGCCCTAATAAATGTATAAAGCAGGTGGCACCGCCATCTTGGTGCCTTTAGTGTTATTCTGCACGTTGTGCAAAAACATAACCCCCGCTCTGACTGTCGAAAAGAAGTGTGCTGTAGAGCTTGCATCAATGCAGACTCGACGCGCTGCGCGCTGTAGAACTTGTGGGTGTACTTGAACCCATAGACAGTAAAAGAAAGCTTGAACCTGATGTCAATCGTGTGGAAAGTACAGCCCACTACTACATTTCAGTTCAGGGAAGAGTTCAAAAAATGATTGGTCGATATTATGCATGAGGAATACATTCTGGTAAGTTGTAACATACTGTATCGTTCAACAGTGTTTGTGTTCGGTTCACATGCGCTAGGGATCTGTCTTGTAACATTTACAAGCACCAAAAGTGTATGTATTGTTTGAATTGCATAATAAAGTTGACAGAATCTGAGAGCTGAGATTTTTTTTTTTTTTTTATATATATATATATAATAACTACCCCGTATTTTCCGCACTATAAGGCGCTCTTAAAAGCCTTTAATCTTCTCAAAAATTGACAGTGCGCCTCATAATCCGGAGCGCCTTATATATGGATCAATATTAAATTCGCCCGCAAACTCGCACTCGTGTCCGTCTTATGCCCGCTTTGTCACACGGCCAGTTCAACCTCGTATAAATCCGCTTATGTGTGTCTCCCACTCACCAGCGCTCACTCGTAACAGACACACGAACAGACTGTCCCCGGTGCTGCTCGCGCGTCACAGAATGTTCATAAAGCGCTCCCCATTCAAAGTAACCGGGTCGTCTCATTAAAAACAGTCAGCCGTTGCTGTCAGCGAGCCGCCGCACATTGAATACTCGTATGAGTCTGGCTGCGAATGTAAGTTACGTGCCCGCCCCAGCACGCTTGCACTAATAAACGCCTCACCTCCGGCGCCGCGCACTCGCTAAATTCCCAGCACATTTAGTGGATGCATAACGCAAACCCAGTCAGTATGTTATGTGCCTCATAATCCGGTGCACCCTATATATGATAAATGTTCTAAAATGGGTCATTCATTGAAGGTGCGCCTTATAATCTGGTGCGCCTTAAAGTGCGGAAAATACGGTAACCTGCTCCATCTTGTCTGTCAGTCTCCGTGTCCTTTTCTGTGCATGACAAAATTGATGTGTGGCGTGAGCGTGTGAAAAGTGTCAAGGAGAATTCGTGAGAGTTGGCAGGTCTGAATGGCGCTAGCTTGGTCCACATCAATGAATGCTCTCTGTCAAATTAATTCAAACTAATACTAAAAATGTAATATGAACAAAACGAATACCATAAAACTACAAATAATAGCCTGGGCTTTTATTTTCCCATATCGTCGAAATGCACCGGCTTGTAATTTATACAGGCGTCTATGTGACGGCCTTTATAATTTAGTGTTGAGATGTTGTTCATTGAGTCTCTAATCTCTAAAAATCTCCAAATGCTCCACGTGAAACTGCGGTCTTCCAACCTTTTACTATCGTGTCAAATGATTTGATTAATATGTACTAGGGAGAGAGAGCAAAATATCGCTCGCTCGTGTTGTTTGAAGACATGAGAGTGCACGCAATTGCGGCTGCGGCACAACCGGGCACAACTCACTTTCTGGAGGTATACTGCCCCCATCTGGTATGGAATATGGAGTATGATTTTTTTTTTTTACATTTTTTTTTATGGCAGATGGCACCTTTAAATTAGGAAGTTGATCGGCTTGACGAGAACAATATACGTGGCAAGTTTTGTAACTGTAGATAAAACGAGCAAAGTTATAACACTTTATGTGTCCTTTTTTAGTCATAAAATTCATTTCCTCGCCACAGCCAAACCGTTCGAGATATCAAATCCGTCCAGAATTTAGCGTCCTCAATGTCTTGACTTCATGCACACCGAGTTTGGTCGTGATTGAATAAGTGACCTAGGAGAAATACATCAAATTACAATGCATGCATTTACCAAACAACCCATAATAGCCGACTTCCTGTTGAGCTGTCGTAAAACTTAGAGCACAAAAGTTGTTATTCCCAATAAGATCTGTAAATGTACCGAGTTTCATCGCATTACATGCAGGTGTGTTTGATTTATGGACAAGTGTTCGAATCCCAGTCAAGGGGGCACTGTCGAGCCGCCCTGCCACGCCCGGGTACCAGCTTCAGTCCGGCCCTGATGGTCGCGGGTTCTGACGCGTGTGAAAAGTTTCAAGAGTTTTAGAGCATGTTAAGGGCCCCAAAAGCCCCTGAAACCTTGAAAAACAATAATTAAAAGGATTCTCACTCAAACAGACACATCCCCCTCCCCCACCGACACGGAGGTACGCGGAGAGAGGGATGAAAGATTAATCCAAAACATCCACATTCAAACCGAAATATCTGACGTCCTTTCGTTCAGAGCTAATGACTGTCAATTAGAAAGTTGTCCGGCTTGATCCGAACAATTTACCTAGTGAATTTTATGATTGCAGGGAAAACTGTGAAACTAACCCTCTCACTTTTGTCAAAAGGTGGCGCTACTTAGCCCCTGCACCACGCCCATTTCTGAAACTTTGCACGTCTACTGGCTAATAAATGTGATGTGTCTGTCGAGTTTCATGCAATTTCAAGCATGCTAAGAGTCTCAAAAGCATCCTAAAAGAATGGTAAAGTTTGACGTGTTGCCACGGGCACGGCAACAGTTTCAAAGATATCAAGAATCCATTCACAGGTCTTCATCTGTCGTGAATGTACATTATGCAGATGAAGATTGCCGCTATAAATTTGACTCACAATAGTCACATCCAGGTGATCGTCCTCTTACAGCGTACACACTGCTGAAGTTTCATCAAGATCAGTTAATGTATGCTGAGGTTATGACACTTCCTGTTTCACGTTTCTCGCCATAATTTAGTTTCCTCGCCATGGCCAAACCGTTCGAGATATCAAAAATCCCTTGGCAAACTTTCATGCTTGACGTCACGCTGACCGAGTTTCGTCGAATTTGGTTCAGAGCTCTAGGAGGAGTATTTCAAATTCCATTGCATGCGTTTTATAAACAACCCTCAATAGCCGACTTCCTGTTGGGCTGGGGTAAAAAGTAAGTGTGTGAAGTGTATATATGAAACGATGAGATCTACATGTGTACCGAGTTGCATATTTTTACATGCAAGCGTGTTGATTTATGGACCAAGTTTTCGGACCCCGTTCCAAGGGGGCGCTGTCTAGCCACCCTGCCACGTCCGGGTACCTGATGGCCGCGGGTTCTGACCCGTGTGCAAAGTTTCAAGAGTTTGAGCAAGTTAAGGGCCCCAAAAGTGCCCGAATAGTCGTTAGAAAAGTAAAAGGAAAAAAAAAAAAATCATCCCAAGGAAAACAATAGGGCTCTGTGCCCTTTCAGGGCTTGGGACCTAATCAGCCTTAGGCCTCATTTATCAATGTTTGTCAGCTATGTTCACATACAGTATATGATTTGTGCTAAAGAATTTGCACAAGATTTTGCACAAATTTTGATCTCTCTGTGGCTTTTTTTAAAATTAATGTGCATTTTCTGCCTTTCCTGTGGTGCACAGCTGGTTGGCATCACCGATGGCTACCTTTCCCTGCTGAAGGATAATGGAGATTTGCGTGAGGACCTCAAGCTGCCCGAGGGGGATCTGGGCAAAGAAATAGAGAGCAAATTTGAATCTGGGGATGAATTTCTGGTTTGTAGCTTTTACATCCTTTCAAATTCACATCAATTTGTATACATATGTTTAGGTGAAGAGGCTTTATTAATTTAATTTAGATCAGAAAGTAGTATAGTGGACATTAGATTGGTCCTTAGTGGCCGATCATGGGTCCACACACCATGTCAGAATTACCGTGATTATGAGATTCCGGCTTGTAAAAATGTCCTCTTTGATAATTGAGTTTATAAGTTGTAATAAGTTCTGAGTTGTTTTACTTGTACCATATGACCACTCTGCCATGCTGTGTGGAAACAATCAAAATGGCAGCTTTTTTATTTTTAGTTTAATGCAAGAATAACCTGAAAAATAAACATTAGTTAATTACTTTAGTTTAATATACCTAGCACAGAGTGGTAGAACTATATATCTTTATAATGCAGTTTAATTTTGCTTAATAATATTGAATGTTAGCTACAAATATAAATATATAAACACTTCAGTTTAGGGTCCAATTCTCTCTATTAGCTAGTTGCTTATTAGCATCCTAGTTACTAGGATATTGTCTGTTTATTAGTACCTATAAAGCACATTTTAATGCCTTATTCTACATCCTACCCAATACCTAAACTTAACTACCTTACAAACTAGTAATTAGGAGTTTGAGGTAAGTCATAGTTAATAGTGAGAAATGGACCCTAAACTAAAGTGTGACTGGTTGTTTTTCTAAATGCATTGTTTTAGTTCAGTTCTACAGGTATTTGCTTTATTTGTGCTCAAATGAATGCGAGATTGCAGTCAACTGTGGAGTGGTGGTGTTTAAACGTACTAAATGTTTGTAGAAATCCAGCATACTTTACCATGGAGAAGTCTGTCGTTTCATCAGAAGATTTTACGATTTTGATTTAACCATTTGAGTTACATGAATGCATGAAAATGGTTAGGGTAAATTTCCATTTCATGAGGACTCTAAAAGTAGTCATTTTGAGTTAATTTTTGTGACTTCTTTCCCTCTTGTAGGTCTCTGTGTTGGCTGCCATGGGGGATGAATGTCCCATTGCCATCAAGCCCATGAGCTCATAATGAACAGAAGCTGACGGGCTGGTTGAGTGAGGGCCTCTGTACCACGCATATTACATTTTAGTTCTTAAAGTCACCAAAGCCACAGCCTTCGCAAACCACCTAGAATCATTTCTGTTAAACAGTAAAGATGCTGGACCTTTTCACCCATGTCTCATGAGGTGTTGTCTAATCAGGATATTTCATATCACAAAGGGTTTCCTGCAAGCTTGTTCTTTATTATTACCCCCTCAGTCATTCCTCCTTCATTATACAGATGCACTTTTATCATTCATTAAAAATGGGAATAGTTTTATTAAAGCTGCTCTTAATGCAGAAACCTTTTTATTCATGCCGACAGGCCTTAAACTGTTGCAAATCAGGCAGCAGCCATTGAAGATTACCTCTATGAATCTCACTGACTAGTTTGCCGGCATTTGGTACATCTACATTCGTGCCAAAGCCTGTGTGTCTCAGGTAGGCTAGGATTTGTCTGAATGTCACTCTAACAGCTTGGCACTTGTTGGGGTGGCCGGCAACTAGCAATCCTAAGGCAGAAAACATACTAAAAAAAATTACTGACATATAATCCTGGCCAAATGACCAAATATAATGTAGTTAATCTGAATCGCAATTTTTTTTTTTTTTCTTTAGTAAATCTAGTTGTACTCCACCTGGTCCCGAACTTTTCTTTAGTTTAAGTTTACGGCGTTTGGCCCTCTATACTGAACACTTATTTTGGTAGCAAAGCAATAACCCAATACCTTTGTTACATCTTTTTAGTAGTGAGGGAAGATGTTTAGAAGGGCCTTTGAGCTTTGCACTGGCTAACCTGCTGTGATGCAGCAGTAATGAACGCCCTCTGTAACAAACTCTGTTTACAGTAGCTTTGCTATACAACAAATTTCTATGCTGCATAAATTAGCTTATTTTTTGTACTTACAGACAGGCACAGTGTGTGCACTAAAGGGCTTCAATATCAACACTTTCAGTTCACACTCTATAGCATCTTACATGCACCTGGCTTGTTTACTGGTATAAAGGCTTTATTCGCCCCACCCCTCCTCCACTTTAAGGGCACACTTTGCATTTGACTCATAAAGATAGTATTTTGTAGTAGAAAACTTATTTTATTTACTCTGAAATTCCTTTTTGATGTAGAAATAAGATGCGTTGCTATTGTATCTGCATTTGGGTTCCTTTTGGTGTTAGGTTTGAATCTGAATTTTTTTTTATTAATTTGTTTTTTTTTTTACTCTAGAATGGACCAGCAAATGAGAACTTTTGGTTGGGCAGAATGTTTTTCTTAAGAGGTATTAAGCTTTGTTTGGTGTTCTGTTTCAACTAGTTTTTGTTATTGTTAATTAGCTCTCGTATAAAAAGTAGCCTGAGAGCTCAAGTAAGTGGAAAGTATTGTATGGCTGTACAGTATTGAAAAGATTTCACGTTGGCATATAAATCTCAGCGAGTCTCTCAGGTTTCCAGTATTCATTTATTTTGCTGTTTCTAGTATTGGTCCTAAGTATCCCTGTAAAATACCTCTCTCTATCTGCAAATCATTAGTGTTCATGCTTGCGAGTGAATTACATGCTTTTTTTATATATTTTTTTTTGGTTATTTTCTTTAATTCAGCAGCTTGACTGAGTTACATACAGGAATGTGGGTCATTACCAGTGCAGACTGTAAGGAGATGCTTAATCAGACAAGCAGTAGAAATAGTGTTCAGTGTTTTTCATATGGCTAGTTGAATGATAATTGTAAGAAACCACAAATTGGGATATGAGGGGAGCAATTATAATAAACTCAACTGAAAACCATATAAGCTTGTGTTTTTATTTTCTTTTTTTAAATTTCAGTTTGCAACAAGCCTGGCAAGACATTTGCATGAGATATTTTAGTTCGGTTACAAAAAAAAATTATGCAAACATTATTATACACATAGGTTAAAATAGAAATGTAATTTCCTGTGATGGTAAAGCTGAATTTTTAGCATTATTACTCCAGTCTTCAGTGTCACATGATCCTTCAGAAATCATTCTTACATGCAGATTTGTTCTCAAAAACATGTGTTCTTATAATTTTTTTTTTGCCTGGATATTTTGATGAATAAAAAAACCCTCAAAACTAATACAAGTATTTATTTCTTTTAAAAAATCTTACTGACCCCAAACTTTTGAAAGTTAGTAAATAAAGTGTGTTAGGGTTTCTTTCAATGTCTATCTGACTTGTTATATCCCCTTATTAAAACTGTATAATTCCTCAAGAAAAAATGGTAACGCTTCCTTTTACAGTCTAGTTAACCATGTAAATACTATGTACTTATTTTAGTAACTACAATTACTGGGTAATAACTAGTACTAACCCTAAACCTACCCCTGTTCTATGTACTTACCTTATATTAGCCAGTACTTTCTAGGTAAGTACGCTGTAAGTACCGAAAAAACAACACAAACCAAAATAAGCAATTACAGCCAAAGCTTTGCATAGCTACAAATATAAAATTGTGTATGGGTCAGCAGTGTTTGTTTTTCCAGTGTTCCAATGAACAACTAACTAAAGAATCCCAGTTAACCAAAGTTTTAATGGTCTTAAACATTGTGCCCAATTTCTGCCAACAACAGTCAGTTCTGTGGTATGTTGTTGACACGCCAGCTTTGAAGGCTGAAATGAAAATGGCATTTTGCATGTCAGTTTGAAGTTGGCAAGCTTTTTAGCTTTCAATAATGTGCTTCTGATTATGATTTTTTTTTTTCAAGACTTGAAGATGCTTTGGCCGAGGCTTCAGTCAGCAACTTGGGGGTCCCGACTTTCATACACTGCGTTATGGGATTTATTATTTTCACAAGTCTTATGACATTATATTTTTGCATTTCCCCTTTAAATTCCTTGAGTGGTCTCCTGTCTTTTCATATTTTTAAAATGCTACAGCCACTAGATGTCAGTAAAGCACAGTAAAACTGCCACTCCAGATTTCTCCAACCTGCTTTTGATTAAGAAACTTACTTTTTTCCTTTTAGCTTTCCCCCTGTTTACATATGAGTCTCCTAACAAGAGCCCAGAGGTATTGCCAAATGGTTCCTATAGAAATTATGTTCTGCTATACATTTCAGCGACAGATTGTGAACTGAAGTGCTCTGTTTACATTTCTCTGAAATAAGGCCATTCTAGGGGCCAGAATAAGATATAAATTCAATGCAGATGTAGATGCCTTTCTGTCCATATGGTCTTATATGTACATATGTAAAACTAACATCCATTAGTTTTAATGATGCACAAATCCAGGGGTGAATCTTGTTGGTCATCATATGTTCTGCTGCACATTGCTTCCTTTATATCTTAGTCCTTGTTTCATAGTGGGGAACATGCAGAGATGGCAGCTGTTCTCACAAGTGAAGATGATTAAATTCAATATAGGAGTGTGTGGTTTCTTTCTTAAAAAAAAAAAAGATCTAAGGCATCTACACTGTATGCTTAAACTCTGGTCTGGTGCTCTAAATAGACTAACGATTTAGATATTTAGTTTTTCACCAAAAATGTTCTTCATTTGTACCATTTGCTACAAAGTTCAAACTGTAAAATGCATAAAAAGGTGCATCAGTTCTATAATCTTTAACTATATCTATAATCTATAATCTTTTCATTTAAAAAAGAGAATAATCTAATCATTGAATGTTTGTCTTTAATTTAGCTTAATTTTTGTAGCTATACTTATGACTGAAGTGTCATTAAATGAATGGAGCAAGATTCCCTAATGTGTGTTCTGTTTGAGTATAACGCTGTCCTTGAACCCGCTCTCAAAACCACCTGTCATGAGGACTGTTTACTTATGACTAATGATTTAAACTCCAGTCATCCTGAAGAGTGGAGGAGGTATTTTGTTTTACAGGAAACGGGGACATCAGAAGACTACAAACTAAAGCAATAACAAAGCCCAGTTCCCTCTGTTACAGTATTTGCCTCACCAAGGAGCACTGGCTTATGAGTCATTATTGTGCTCCTGTGAAGTTAGAGCTGATTCACCAGGCCCTAATCACCTCATCCTAATCCCAGAGCAGTGATAACCTCACATCAAGTACTGCTACAAATTTGGTTTGAGTTCAAAGCACACTATATAGATGCTGTGATTAGGCATTACTTGTTTGGTTGCATCCTGAAAGCCACTGGTTTCCCAGATAGACAGATTCAGACTTTTAAATGTGGCAATTTTATTTATTATTTCATTTGAGAACTTTTGCTTATATTTAATGATACACAGTTATCATTGAGAACCTTTTCAATTATGGAGTCAGATGAAATAACGCAGAGAGACCTTCATCTGCTGATCAGATGCCAGATTCTGGGCTCGAGGCGGGCTTTACAGCATAAAGGTGTGTTACATTTTCGACGACCCATATTGCATACCCAGTAGGCCTATGTGATATAGAAAAAGACGGAGAAAGTAGAAACATCGAAAGGATAGTAATAGATCATGTCAGTAAGTCTGCATTATGTGGCCTGATACGGCAAAGGGTACGGCAATATTGTCTTTTAACCCTTGTTTCGTTTGAAGTCATTACTCTTGATTTAAAAGGGACCAAGGGAATCACAGTACTCTGTTGTATGAAAATGCCCCTTTTATTAAAACATAACTTACTGGAGGATTAAACTCATATCCTGTACATTCCTCTGGTATGCACACATTTAGTCATGTTCCTTTCGCTTGTCAGTGTGTCCTGATAACTGCTTATGGTTTCTTTGGAAAGGATGCTGCAGATGCCCTGGTGCTTGTGTAAGCACATTTCTAGGCTTTTTGCCACAGTACTATACAGTATAATGTAAGACTTGGCACTTGTCTTCATATTTCACTTTAAATAACAAGATGTTTGGGACACTCTGGGTTTGAGTCCAGTACTATGAGAAAATAAAACAGTGATCTCATTCTCATCTGGTAGACATGATTCTCTATTAAACAACATGCAAGTGACATCATTACTTCTTTAATCTTATGGATGTTGTCAATTTTTTTAAATGTGATTACGGCTTTTCTTTGAGTTCAGATTGTCTCACAATCACTTCTGTGTGTCAAGTGTTCACAGAGGCACCCCTACTCCCCATATTATGTGCTGATATCCATTTTGACCCCTGGATGGCCTGTCTTGGGTCAAGAGCAGTGAGTGTATGATCAACCAAGGAGTTCTTGAAAGAGAAAATATGTGGGAAATGGTAGGATGAGTGGATAGATCTGTTATAGGTATGATGGTGCTATTTAAAAGCAGAGGCCACTTGGTTTGCTTGGGGCGTTGTTATTGTATCTGGACAGTGTGTGTGTGGGGGTGAGAGGTTACATGTCCTCTGGGCTCATAAAAGACTTGGCACTTCCCTCACCCCCTCATTAGGCTCCCTTTTGAAGTGCGCTACCAGGAAACATGAAAGGTTTCAGACGCACCAGAAAGAAGCACCAGATGATAAGCATGACAGCTAAAAACAAGGTTGTTTTTTTTATATACGTGGGGGCTGAGGCCACAAATTTGAACATATGTGATGTTTCATGTGGAAAAGACTTTTATGACATTATAAACGTTATATAAAAAAGAAAGGTTATACTTCTAGGTCATTAATCAAATAAGTACATTTTTGACATTGAACATGTTCTTTGGATTACGTCAAATCATGCTGAAGAACATTCGGTTTAACACAAATTTCCCTTCTCTTCTCTCTGTATGATTGTTGAATCTATATTTGGGAGGAAAATGGGAATGGCAAAACATCTATGCTCCACCTTGGAGAGGTATTCAGATTGATGAGAATCGGTGTAGCTAATTTTTCCGAGGAAGACAGTTGAAGCAGTGGGAAAAAAAGGTCCACTACAAGGTCACAGCTTTTATTTCATAAGATATTTCATTTTCAAGTGATTTTCTGTAGTACGTGTAAAGTATGTTAAATTTAAGCCTTTGATATGCTGCCTACCCGACCTGTATAGTTGTTAACACACGGAGAACAGTTTTTCTTTTAAATAGGCTACACCACTTATATAAAGGGCTTAATCAAATCACCTTTATTTAAGTTGTGTCTTCAAGACATTCTTAAAATCCGTTTTCTTCTCTCTGCTGCTGTGCAGGTGTATAAACACTTAAGATGGCGAGAGGCTTTATTTGTCAGGATGTTCTGGAGGGAATGATTTCATGGGCTGAGCGGCTCAGACTGGATCTTCGGCTGTATTCAACAGTAGTACAATGTGATCCTCGTGAACTCTAGTGCAGCTCCTACTCCTGAGGAAGCCTCAGGCATTTCCTGAGGAGGTGTGGTCTCGCTTTTCAGATAACATGATCGTAAATAACTGACCTACTCTCTGATTGATTAACATCCTCAAAACCCTGTTTTTTTTCCCTCTACTGTTACCATAATCATTTTTTTTAAATGAAACGAAAAAAAAAAAAAAAACAACGAAAAAACAAAAAACGTTTTGCTTCATTTTAGGACATTAGTTTTATAACTCTACATTTACAGCATAGGGCCATTAGTCTCTGATATACCAAACAATAAGTTTTCCTTTCAAAGTTGGTTTAAGTTTTAGTACTTTTGTTGCTTTTTTCAGTTTTATTAGTCTTTTTTAAAGCTTTAATTTATTTAATGTTTTAATTTGAGTAATTCTAGTACTTCAGCTTAAACTTTTATTTCATTTAGTTGCTAAGGCAATTTTTAGTTTTTTATCTAATATTTAATAAAAATATTCTTATATTTATTATATTTATAAAAAAGATTCGTATGTTATTTCAGCTTTATTTCAATCAATGAAATGCATTTCTAATATAGTTTTCGTTAAAAAATATAACAACACTGTGATTCATGCACTTTTATGTGTAAAACTAATTTCAAAAATGAAAATTAAGGATGCAACATATATTTGTCCCATTCAAATTATTGGCTGATTTT